GGATAGTAAGTCTGATAGGCTTTCACAGGATATGCAGCTACATTTGAATGGTAGGAATGATCGTAACGAGGGTTATGATAAGCAGCCAACTGCAATCAACCGAATGACTAAGTTGTATGCTACCGTAATTCGAGCTAATCAAATTTGTTCTATGAGTGACGAAACGAACCGCAACGTTGGTGGCAATAAAAAGTGTAATCAATCCCGTGCAGCAGTGCATGTGGTAGAAGGAGGGGATGAAAGAGCTGGTGAAGGAAAGAACGAGTAGTGCTGAAAAGTGAAGTGCAAAGCGCCGGGTGGACGAAGATGTGCCAGCGGACACACACGTGCTGGACAGCCACGCCCACAATCAATCGCTGCCCGAGTGTGGGAGCTGAGCTGATCTACAAAAACTGGGATAGGAATGGTCCATTATAGGACCCATGACCCGTCCATGTCTCTGTTCAGCATTTTTCTCCATAATTCCTCTCAGTACTACCCTCCCCTCACACCCTCTTCCCCACCCTCCGCCAGTACCCGGGCAACTATCGGGAAGGATGTGGAAAGACAGCGCTCCTCATTCCTGAGAGAGAGTAGGCGTGGCACTTAAGTCATGCCGTGATTTACTCGTTGGATTTCAACTTGAGACAACTGTCATCTTGTCTGCAGTTTTCCAGAAATAATGTGCTCTATCACTGGGGCACGACGTGCACCCCCATGAGATCCCACCGGCACCAGTACTACTACAAGGCGTGAAATTCGAAGCAGTGGGCTGGAAGGGGGTGACCGAGAATCTCTTCTTGGATACTTATTCACGCGACGTTTTCCACTTCTCAAGGAACTTTCCTCTTCATGGCTGGTCAGATATGAACGGTGCGACCCTTTTTGGCACTGCCAAGTAAACGAGCACTAGTGTGTGGAAAGACTGCCTATGAGCAGTCCTCATTCCTGAGATAGAGTAGGCGTAGGAGTTAAGGCATAAGGAGTTACTCGTTGGATTTCAACTTGAGACAACTGTCATCGGATATGTGGGAAGGTAGTGCGGTTCGGAGTGGACAACCTTGTGCCAGTTTGGCGGCGGAAAGTTGTACGGTAAAGGAATTAAGGCGCAAAGTTGCTTCAGTGGTACATCCTTCTTTCAGTGACTCCGCCTCCAGACTCCGCCTCCAAAGTCGGCCGAAAGTCAGCCAAAAGTAATGCTTCCGGGCAAGTATCATGGAGTGGATGCATTCATGTCTCTTGTAGAGTCATAGGGTTCATTACGGGAATCAGCAGACGGGAATCTTCCCAGCGCACAGTGTTTTCTTTTATCTTTTTATTCTTCGTCTTTTCTGTTTTCATTTATTAGATTTTACAACATAGTCCATTAATCTCAGTTTCAAAGATTTTATTCGGTCTTTTCACCTCTACAGTTGTTTGAGGCTAGAGGAGGCCTGACGAATGCGTTTCCAACGTTCCCTTTGGCATTTTCTCTTCATAGACGGTTCACTTGGCGAATTTCTTCCAATTCTGCAACATCACATAGACTTTTTATCGCGGGCTGTGCCTTTAAACGGGTCAGAGTGGAAATATCTCACGAAAACCTCGAAACGTTCAAATCAAGTAAGCAGCTACGCCTACAGCATGGCACTTCCCTGGTGGGAGAATTCCCTCATTCTCATGAGCGTAGCGCTCATGAGAATGAGGGAATTCTCCCACCAGGGCGAATACGGAACTCTGGCCCAGCTCGCACCGATCAAATACCAGCTCGTGGAGGGTTCCTCGACGTGAATATGATGATACCAACAGTCAAGGATGTCGATGTAGGTGGGATCCCTTTCTCCTCTATGGACAAATAAAACTCAACCTCTTCAATAGCGTAAATTTCTGTTTTTCTCAGCTCCCTCACGTCTGCATGGCGTTTTGTGACCACTCCAACCTTCCACATTCCATTTTTGACGCATCATGAATGGTGCGCCAACCTCGTTGCTTCTTCTCTCGAAAAACTCATCCTCTGGCTCGCGACATTTTTTTGTACCTCTCGACGCCTTGGCAGCAGCAGTCCTTTATTTCTCGGCCCTCTAGCCTTTTGGACCAGTTAAAAGTAGTTGTCACGTGACCCCCTTTCGTTTATAAGTTGGGCTCGTTCGCAAAGGGTATCCCACTCTTGGCACTAGAACGTGTGCTATGACATCTGGCTTAGCGTGATTATTTGATGTTCACATCCCCGTCCCTCGGTGATAGATGCCAGTGAACGCAGCATGCTCCTGCTTTTGCGAGCTTCTGTCCCAAGAAAAGACACTGTTCGAAATCATTCGGAAATGATTTCCTACCGATGAATCGATTTCAAGTAATTAAATTTTCAATAGAAGAGCAGGGCAGAACGTCATTACAAAGAATGGCATTCGCTACTGATCTGCTGTTTCTGGAGATTTAGCACCGCTTATCTGACGTGAGCTAGGTGCGATGACGAAGGTGCCTAACAGGGTCAAGCATTGTTTTGAGGAAAATTACGCAGTCGGTACAACACCCCTTCACAAAGCAATGCGCTCCTATAGTAATCCGTGGTATCTGTCTCATTCCTGCTGCTGGAGCCTCGGGTTATGGGAACACTGCGCTGGCTTCTAGACTTCTACTACACTTCCGCCCTTCTTGAATAATTCAACTCAAGTTTGAAATTCGTGTCGCTGGGAAGAATCCACCCAAAGAACGCCAGTGCAGTTAT